ATACTGAATTGGTGACTCTAATCTTGAAACTGTGCTGGTTGTATAGATCTTCTGTGTGTGAAGCATCCATGTTTTTCAACCTGAGGCAAACGACCACGAGGCGGTAATTCCAGTTTTGTAAAAATCATACATAGTGTACCTTTAAATGTCACCTCACCACATCACAAACTGAAATAAAAACACACAGACGTACCATGGAATCATATCTTGGTGGTTTTGTTGTCATGAAGGTCGTAGAGAGTTTTGAAATCTGACCTTTTACCTGATCGAAGCTGTGTTTCAGCTCGGAGGAGTGAAGGCCAATAAAACCTTTGATCCCTGATAAAAAGTGAGTCTGTGTAGAAATATCCTCCACCTGGTCCTCTGAGCTGCAGCCTCCTTCCTCTCATCCTCTAAATCTCCTCCATCTTCTTCTGAGTGATCCCTGTTTGTGTCATTGGCTTTACGCATTAGAGCCACGCGGTGTCGGCGAGGAGCTGCAGACACACAGGAGCGTTTTAACACGGTTTCTATTGTCTCAGTTATGAAGAGATATTTTTACAGAACTTGTATGTTTTTTTCATACGTTAAGAAAAAGCTTTGTATTTGTCATTTGTACAGGCCCTATGGTGACAGTAAGGGGTTCAAAACTGCTGTGGAGCTGCACTGACTACAACACCCATAATCCTCTGTGAGGGAGCCAATCACTGGCTCTTTAAGTACCTCTAAACTACAGGAAATGTGTTCCTTCAGCTCAGGCTCTGATTGGCTATCGAGGCCATAACAACAGCAGTGGAAGCTCCTATTGGCTCAGTGAGGTGTCAATCAAAAGGTCAGGAGCTGGCCTCCATCATGGCCGCCACCTGCTGGGTTTGTTTCCATGCAGGACAGAGACATGATGGATAATATGTGGAGAGATGTGAAGGTGTGAAAGGATGCAGCAGCAGCTGGTGGAGATCTGTGGATGGAGTCATGTGTTTGATTTAGATCATCTGGACTGTTGTCTGTGTGGATCATATCCATCTGTGGTTATAATAAGGCTTCATAGGTGAGTTACAACTGTTTGTTTGTGTGTTGTTTGTCTGACAGAAGTGTTTACTGAGCTGCTGTGGTGGTTGGATCTTGAGGTGGTCAGCATTAATAGCACTGTGAGGCGCCAAGCTTTCCAACAATATGTCATACGAGTAAACATCAACAGATACAGCTGCTGTTTTACACATTATGATTATCAAAACTCGCGTTAGCAGGGCCCATGGGTGGGCTGTCAGATTTCTCACAGTGCAGACTGTCTGTAGGACTGATTTAGGTTTATTTACTCTTATTACCTTTTTACTTTCTCTATCTATCTGCACTCATTTGTGTCCTCGTGCTGCTGCAACAACTGAGTCTGATTTTATTCATATCAAAATAAAACAACAGTTCACATCACGACTGAGTCTCAGCCGTGCTGCCTTCAAAGCCACATGGCAGCTGTTAAATTCTGACAGACGGCTCAGTCTGTCTCAGGTCAAATGTCGATAATGGGTTTTACATGTGTTCATACATGACAAGTGAGAAATTCAAAGAGAGAACACGTCACAGATCCACACACTGAGATATCATTCTTTGATTCGTGTCAGGTATTGTTTTATCAGCCTGTGTGTGTGTGTGTGTGTGTGTGTGTGGGTGTGTGTGTGTGTGTGTCAGCCTTTGCTTCTTCAAAGGCCTGTTTGAGGATTAAGACTTGGTTTGAGGGTTCAGGTTACATTTAGGTTAAGGTTAGGTTTAGGGGCCAGGGAATGCATGATGTCAATGAGGGTCCTCACAAAGATAGAAGTACAAGTGTGTGTGTGTGTGTGTGTGTGTGTGTGTGTGTGTGTGCGCACGCGTGTCCTCTCTAATAAAGCGTAATCTGATCAGTGACATTGACCATCAGACGAACGAGGTTATGGTCACGTCGTTTGTGTTTCACTCAGGAGTTGTGTTTCCATGGCGACCAGGCTTCTGTGCTGTTGTCAAGGAAACCCGATCTCATGACTGTGGTCTCTCAGGACTGTATCAGGCCTTGACTTTGTACAGGAGGTTGATCCGTCACAGCAAACACAGGTTCATGGTTGAAACTAGAAACTCACTGACAGTTACAGAGATTGTTCCTAGATGTGAGTGACTGCAGGACGATCCACGACACGCCCTCCGCCTTAAAGCAGTTATTAGATTTTAAAACTTAGCCCTTGATGTTTGAAAGTTTTCACTGTTGTCGTGCAAACGCTTCTTTTTTGGCCAAATTCGACATAGAATAAAGTGATTTTGATGAAATATCACCATTTTAAGATCAGATTTGGTTTTTGTTTTCTGACGGAAGCGTTCTTCTTCTGGTGTACGTCCTTAGACCTTCAGCGTCGTTGAGACAAACCAGTCCAGTGTTTCATCGTCCGTCCAGGTCAATTAGACCACGATCACCATTTGGTGGCTGGTGTTTGGGGCAGCTGGTTGTTGTGTGTTCCACAGTTTGTAGTGGATCCCCACATTCGCAGTGGGCACTGTCAGTGAGACCCCATTTTTGCATCATTGCCCCAAAGTGTCCTTTGCCCGTCCTCAGGCGGTTGAGGGTTGTCCATAGCTTTCAGGGCAGGTGCTGGTTGGGAACATCTGTGGGGTCTTCGATATAGTGGTAGAGCCTTGATGGTCCATCTTGCCTTGACCCAGGCAGCCTTGGAGGTTTTAGATGATGTTGTACGGAGCAGTTCTTGGGCGTGTGTAGCGAAGGGGTGCCTGGACGCAAGCGCTCATGTAAATAGATGGGATTCACTCGTCTGGACCTTTCAAGCGAGGGCCAGCATGGCTGCTTCTCATCTGACCTCTGCTGGAGCGACACCAGCGAGGAGCAGGTGGTCTGTTTGGGTGGCTCGTAGACATCCGCAGACAGTCCGCAGGGCGGCGTTGAATGCAGTGTCCAGCTTCTTGACATGGAGGCTGCGGCACCAGACTGGAGCACAGTACTCTGAAAACACCAAGGCCTCGGTGTCTTTAATAACATCTGTTTTTACAGTTCCTGGCTGTGATGATGTCATTTTGGCAACATGTTGAAAGAAAACAGATTCTTAAAAATCTGTGGTAAAATAAACACAAAATGAAACCATTTAAATTTGCATGATTGTCCCCTGAGCCAAAGTATAAAACATAAGTCCCTCCCAAATGATTAAAACTTATTTGTCATGCCTCCCCTTTTTGCACCACCTCCTCTGCTCATAAATAACAAACAGTCCCTAAGAATTTGTTGTGTTTTCAGAGCACTGTATTCTGGTGAGAAGCCTCTGAAGCAGCAGGAAGTATCTGCTCACTGTTTAACTCCTGAAACTTTGTATGTCAAAGCCCTCACAAGAGCATCAGTATGAGATGTGCAGAGTCAGCCAGTGTGCCGGTTCAGACCCTGTGATGGGCCAGTTCTGGCCTGCAGGCCACATGTTTGACACCCCTGTGTTAAATGGTTGTTTCTCCAGTAAATAATTTGTGCTGTGACATCATCGATCGTGCAGAGAGGTGTGATTTCTCTGAGTTTGGCGAACTGGTGCAGAGTTGCATGGAGTCTTGTTGCCATCACAGATCTCAGATGTTGCTGGTTCCTGTGGTTACAGACGCTGCAGGCTGAATGAAGCCACACTGTGTGACCTGAGCTGTGATGGGTTTTCTTCTCTGGCCAAGTTGGGATGAAATTTGGACTGAAAAAGAAAACATGGAGCTCACAGACCTGATAGCTGCATTACTCACACTGTGGCCCTCACTTATCTCTGAGGGACTGTCTACTTCCTGGTTTGAGAGAACATGTGCTGTATCAACAGGCTGTTTGTCGCTGTGTGTTTTTCATCACTGGGTGCAGATATGTTTCGGGTGTGTCCACTACTGTATGAGCGAGTGTCGGTCACTGATAAATAAGGGACTGCACTCTCCCTCCTCTCCTCTCTCCATCCTGCTATTTTTAGTGTGTGTGTGTGGTGAGCTAACGGTTTAGAGTTACAGTCACTTTCTTCACCTCTCTGCTTCGCTCTGCCTCTCCGCCTCTCAGACTGCAGCCCATCAGTGGGTGGTTTTCACCTCCCGCGTGTTTTAAGGTGAAAATGAGGCTTATCTAAGTCCGTGTCCTGGAGGCCGCGCAGCATATTAAACACACCACCCTCCTGAGTACTGCAGATTTATTATCGGAAATGAATCTATTATTATCATCAGCACATTATTGAAGCTCTGTGAAGCAGCCGATAAGCTCGATGACGATCATCAAACTGTTTGGCAGGGACAGTGGTACTCCAGGGAACCCCCCTCCCCCAGGTAAAATGAGGACAGAGATATTTTTCATTTTGTCAAACAGTTTGAAAACGAGGCGGCGTCCTGCTGTCTGACCGTGAGCTTCATTCGACTGCTGATACATCACTATACAAACACAGTGTGGTATGATACCGTTCACTACTGTATAACATACGATACTCTGTCAAAGGTTCAGTGTGTGACAGCCAGAGCATCAAGATTAATTCATTTGCTCAGGACGCCATTATTACCCTTTATCTTTACACAGAGAATGATGTCACTTCCTGTGTGGAGAAAAAGCAACTGTTCGCTAAAAGACACCAATGTTTGCCAACATTTTATTCCAGAGACTGAGCTGCTGGTTGACACCGCTAGCTCTGTCAGCACTGTTCATGGAGTTAGCATCGTTAGCAGCTAGCTGCCAGCTCAGCAACCTCCATGTTGAGAGCCATATGCAGACAATTCACACACAGAATTTCACATGGAGCCCCTTTCAGTGTAGAATGCAGCGTAACACACAACAGCATGATATGACATTATACGAGTACTACACCATTAACAATATGTTGCGCAGTACGATACAGACACAGTAAGATGTAACTTTATTGACAGTAACTGTTTTGTAGAAACAAAGGTTCAGACTGAGTGAAGTCTTCAGGCTCTTAATGAGCAGACGACACAAACACCAACCAGAGTAACTGACTGTGCTTCTCCTCTGTCTGTCTCCTGTCTCCTCCTCACAGTGCCCTCTCGCCCAGGGGTGTGCTGCGGTGTGTATGAGTGAGTGTGTGTGCATGTGAGCCGGACCCTCAGGAGCCATGTCGGACCCCAGGGATATTGACGAGGATGCCATCCTCAAGGGCCTCAGTGCTGCGGAGCTGGATCAGCTGGAGTATGAGCTGCAGGAGATGGACCCCGAGGTAACGAGGAGGAGCGCTCCTTTTGTCTAACCCCGCCAGGTGGTCGCCCTCAGGTCACTGTCTCCACTGCCGCAGGGCCTCAGTGGTCAGATCTGGTGCCTGAGCTCCAGAAGCCCTGCAGTTTTTGTTCCCTCAGGTCTGCGTGGTGACGCTTGTTAAGTGTCAGTGAAACAAAAAGCTGCAGGATGAAGGAGCTCAGAGATGAGACATGTTGTAATGTTTCCCCTCAGTGGGCCCACGCAGTCATTAAATGAGTTACATACAAGAAGAGAGCAGCGAGAGAAGGAGGGCGAAAGATCAAGTGAAGGATGCAATCAAGCGGCTCTCTCAACCAGTGACACAAGTGTTGCCAAAACAAAACTTCCCAAATTAAAATGATGAGAGAAAATGCTTCAGACGAGTGCAGAGACTGGTCTGATTCAGCTCGCCCACACACACGTTCCAAACTCTGTCACACGTGTTGTTAGTTTCACCCTGAAAACAATGCAAACTGCTTTAACCTGCAGAACCATGAACGCACCTTTATACAAACAGGTCTCAGTGAATACGTCATAGAGTCAACAGACAGGTCTTAAAGAGGAGCATCAGTCAGCAGTCAGTGATCAGAGCCATGAAAACATTGCACCTACATTTGAAACTTTTTCCCCTGACTCTTTATTCAGGCTCTGAAACAACAGTGAATCCATTCTCTCATGTTCTCTGCTCTTAATGGCACATCAACATAACATTTGACCTCCTGTTCTCCCAGAATGCCATGCTGCCCGCTGGCCTCCGACAGCGTGACCAGACGAAGAAGAGCCCGACGGGGCCATTTGACCGCGACGCCCTGCAGCAGCACCTGGAGAAGGAGGCCATGGAGCACCCGGACAGGGAGGACCTGGTGCCCTTCACCGGGGAGAAGAAAGGTGGGCGAGCAGGCGTCCTGTCAGTTAGATACACCGCCAGAAAATGTCATCTCATGTTTATCTAACAACAAGGACCTGCAGCTGCTTGAATCCCCACAGACCCTGTCCCGTCTCCCTCAGAGAGCCGGGCGGTGTTATGCTCCGAGCTGCACCGCTGCACAGCAGCTCAGACTCTGACTCTCAGCTCTGTGTGGGGTTTTTGCAGCTCACTGAGTTTCAGGGTCATTGCCATCACAGTCCCACAGGCTGACGTGTCCAGACCTGCAGCAGGAACAATGTGGCTCTGAATATTTGCACTGTAGTTCCTGTGCAGCTCATCTGATACACAGAAAAGCAAACAGGGACACACGTCACGTCTGTCCTGTCTGAGAGCAGTTCTTGAAATTGAAGATGAATGAAGAAATAAAAAGATAAGAAAGCTCCAGTGGAAAACACAGAGTTTATTAGAGCTGCTCCACAAATCTGGATAAGCCCCGGCTTACTGGTGTTTTGGGAAACATGATCCGAACGGAGCTTTTACCAAAACACAGACACATTTACAGGTTAAAATATTCAGACTGAAGAAAACCCATTAAAACAGACTGATACTGAACACTGACTGATTCTATGTGCTTGTGTCCCCTCTCTCTGTCTCACACTTTGTTCTTTCTTATTTCTGACTGTCTTCATCTCTGGTTTTATCCCTGAACTCATTTCTCTGTCTCTCCAGGAAAAACCTTCGTGCCCAAGGCAGCACCAGAGATTCCCAAACACGAGCAGGTGATCCTGGAGCCGGAGCTGGAGGAGGCTCTGAAGAACGCCACCGACGCAGAGATGTGCGATATCGCAGGTTAGACAAACATCACTGGGTGTTATCACTGTGATTAACAGCAACAGCAGCAGCTCTCGATCCATCCATTCATCCATCCATTCATCCCAGGCTGAGGCCTTTCCCAGCATGCACTGGGCAAACACGGCCTGGACAAACACACACTGTAGATAAACTGTGTATTGAAAAGATGGGACAGTTCTACTGGAACCATTCACAACGTTTCACCATGAAAATGGAAAAATAACCGTTGTAATGTGAATCAAACTGAACTGAACCAAACTGAATCAAACCAAACTGAATCAAACCAAACTGAACCAAACTGAATCAAACCAAACTGAATCAAACTGAACTGAACCAAACTGAATCAAACCAAACTGAATCAAACCAAACTGAATCAAACTGAACTGAACCAAACTGAATCAAACTGAACCAAACTGAATCAAACCAAACTGAATCAAAACAAACTGAACCAAACTGAATCAAAACAAACTGAAACTGAATCGCTTGGTGAAAACAAGGCTTTTGATTTGATTGACTGGAGACCCTTTTCATGGCAGACATTTTGACTTGTCAAAGCATAAAAAACCACACGTGAAACTGACTTTGTTAAGTAAACTATGGCAGTGAGCCAACACACACACTCACACACACACACACACACACACACACACACACACACACACGCACACCAGCACTGCTTCAAACCAGCTGAGTGTGAGTCAGAGTGAAGTGGACACTACAGGACAGAAACTACCTGATAGTTTGTGACTAAATCAGCTCCTGTAATGGACCTCATTCACAGCAGACATTTTGTCTCATCATAAAATCACAGGTGAAACTGAAGACATTAACGAGGGCTTCATTCCATTAAGTGTATTAGTAAGCTGTTCCAATGAGCCTGAGTGCACGATACCAGGATGTACTCTAAATGGAACGCAGCCATCATTAATGATGTGCTTTTCTTACTTTGACATGTCAAGTATCTGCTGTATAAAAGGTCTGTTGGTCACACTAAGACGAGTGTGGACGTGAAACCATAACAAAGGCAAGCAGCCAATCAGCAATCAAAGGGGCCATCGTCATGGTTACAGTGTGCATCAGGTTTCTGGCATCATAGCTCATCACAGTGAGCTGGATCAGTATTGAAATATTAACAAATTAGATCACTGCTGGCTGTTGTGAATGGGATGAAGTGAATAAAACTGATGCTGTGTGGCGGAAAAACATTTTCTGATTCTCACACACACACACACACACACACACACACACAC